TTCTTTCGTTCTTGTGGTTATTCTTGTTGTTTTGTTTTGTTTTTTCTTTTTCTTTTTTGATGAAATGTATATTATTTTAAGTCTCTTCGTGCGTCACTTTTCTCTTCTTGTTCCTTTTTTTTTTGTTACTGTTCGACTTACTTTCTGTTTCCTCTATCTTTCTGTTTGTTTGTGTGGGTACGTAATGAAAAGAGAAGGTGATCGTTAAAAATAAGAAATAACTGTGTAAAGGGGCATACAGCATTACATTTGAAAACACTGTGTAGAAAACAAAAAAGAAAACAAACAGATATATTATACATTATTATTATTGAGTTTTATAAAATAAATGTCTCTTTAGACAATCAATCTCAGTTCCACAAACAAATGAACAAACGAACAAACAAACGCACACATTATCTCTCGTTTTAATGTACGTACGAGAGAATAGTGTTTCTTTTCTTTCCCTCCCTCATTCTCTCTCTCCCTCTCTTTCTCTTTATTCTTTATCACATACAAGGAGAGGAAATACAATGGTGGCATCACCATGTACACGTACCACTTCACACTCATCAGATAAGATTCCATTTGCCCTGTCTTCTTCCACATTACATGAACTTGGACAGGCATCCGCTGAGAGTCCTGTTGATACATACACCACTTTATTCGACTGCACATGTTGTAAGAGATGATTCTTCGGCAAACCACCTCCAAGTACAATACATGTAATTTTCCCGCTAACTCTCTCATGATGATTATTATCATTATTATTATGACCACGACCTCCCATCTCACGCAATCGCACAACATCCACAATTGGATCCACAACAAGACCTTTCTTTGAAAAGTTATAAAAATAAATCATATCCCCCATTGAACCATCTGTGAGAGCAGGTGAAAACATGGGAATATTATTGCGATAACACCAATATACAAGACTAGAGGAACATGTATCAGGGTGATTCTGTTCAAGAGCTTCTCCCATCGCTGCAATAATATCAGATGGTGCTGTCATTTTCTCCCAACGAGACTCCCGTTGCAATTCATGCACTTTCTTAAGTACAGGCATAAAATAATCTTCAAAAGAACAGTAATTATCATTTGGAACCAGCAAATTACCTATTCGGTTAATTCCACGCTTACGCAACATATGTCCATCTAAGGTAAACTTTCCCATAAGGGTCTTGCCAAGACATTTAATCACATCCTCTTCAATACCACCTGCGGAAGAAATAAAACCATCCACAAGCCGTTCACGCGCGAGAAAAGCAAAAGTATCCCGCACTCCACTAGAGATTAGATTAGATGTGTACGCCATAAACACCTTATCACCTGCCTGCTTGTGATAGAGTGTCTCTTGTACAATACGTCGGGCACGACCAAGTTCTGTGGCCTGCAGTCCAAGACGAGGATATGCCGAAAGAACCTGTCGTACCGCCTCTTCTTGGTTAAGTGAAAGAAGATCACTATAGTCCACTTCTGTAATAGTTTCAATAGGCACTGTTGTAGTTTCACTTTTGTCTGATGATATTTCCACACGTGTTACCATGATTGATTATTTGTTTGATTGTTTGATTGTTTTCTTTTTTTTTCTTTTAACTTTCTTTTGTCTTAATTGTTTTGTTAGTATTAACTCGTATCCAACCCTTTTAACGCCCTTTAACCTCACATATATTTCCAAAGGGAAAGAAGTGAGGTAGAAAGAAAAAAAAAAAGAAATAAAATAAGAAAACATCCGTGTTATTTCAATAATAATAATAAAGAAGTAAAAAAAAAAAAGGAGAAGTAGACCAAGAAAAACGAATAAAACTAAGAATAAAAATTTTTTTTTGATTTATTTCATATATTAGTTCAACTTTAATATGTTCTTTAGTTTATTACAGTATATGATTACTTAATTATTCGGACTTTATTACAGGTATCCAATAATGTTAGATACTACCTATTATTTGTTTTCTTTTCTTTTTTTTTTTCGTTTCCTTGCTCATATACACACACACACACATGCATAGAGAGAGAGAGAGAGAGAGATAAAGAGAATAAACACTGTATAGATCCATTTGTGTCATTAGCTCAATGCTGTAGATTAAACAGTTCAAACCACTGTCGCATCGCGTCTGCAATGGCGCCTGGCAGTGTATCCAACTCCCGCACAATGAGATAATACGGGAATGGAAACTCCTCCATGTATGAGCGCCGCACCACCCGCCCGCCGCGGAACTCCACAAGTTGCATGTCGAGCACTGAGTTGGACTGCACGCGGTGTAGTCGCGCCTCCCGCTCGGCCTTCAGTCGCCGCATGCGCTCCGCCGGTGTGAGTCCCGCGAGATCTTTTGCCGTGAGAGGAGCGGGAGTATTATCATTATTATTATTACTATTGCTGGTGGTTGTTGTGGTTGTGGCCTCCGTGGGGCTGGAAGGGGAATTGGCCTTCACGTCCAGGAGAACAAAGACAACAATTTGTCGATTTTCTTCCGCCCGTAAGAGTAATTTTCGCAATTCCGCACGATCTTCTGTAATTTGACCATCACTAATAATGAACATCATTTGTTGTAATTGTTGGGTGGTGGAGCGTGTTTGTCCATGTATACGTTCTCGTGCACTGTCCAGATAATCCAGTGAAGTTTGTAGTAATAACTTGAGACTTGTTGACTTTTGTGCAAATGTAATTTCACTAAATGCTTGTGGACCACTTTCACCTGTGAAAGGTTCATCCATGCCATGAACAATACGTGTCTCTTTTCCAAAACAAGCAATACCCAATTCTCCAACTTCTAATTGTCGAAGTGCCTCTGCTAAAAGGGCTACAGCTCGACACGACATGACACCAGCATTATTACAATGCATACTAAAAGAGTCATCTAATGCCACTAAGATCTGATAATTACGTTTATTAGGTTTCGTTCGTCGAAGCCAAATACGATCTTTTTTAAACTGTGAAGCTATATATGGTATAATACGTTTCATATTAAGTCGTTTACCCGTTTTATAATCACCCTGAAGTTTATCTGCTAAAGTAGGTGCTAAAATAAGGCGAAGTTGTTCACATAAGTGATGTGAAAGTCCTTGAACAGCTGCCACTTGCTCCTGCCAGAGCCTGCGGCCACGATTCATCTTTTCATCTTCACCATCTACTGCAGATTCTTCATGATAATCATCATTATCTTCTTCTTCATTTTCTTCATCCTCGCGAGAATTTCGTGAATTCACTTTAACTCGTTGTTTACCCTTCTTTTTCTTCATATTTTTATCCTCCTCATCCTCATCATTATTTTCCTCATCACTATGCATTTCAAGCTTTGTATCCGTTTTCTTCTTACGACGACGCATAGATGTATCTTCTGGTGCCTCCTCATCTTCTTCACTGTTATCCTTTGAATCTTCATTCTCTTCCATCTCTGGTAGATTAGATTCTGCCTCTGTAACAGGTATTGGCTTCTCATCTGTGGCAGCCATTCCTTCCCGTTCACCTTCTTCATCAAATTCAAACTCTTCAATAGCCTCCTCTTCTTCGTTATTATTTTGTTCTTGTTGTTGTTGTTGTTGTTGTTTGTGTTCTTCCTCTTCTTTCATCTTTTGCTTCTTAACATCAACATGTTGGTTTAGGTTTAGTTGTTGAGCTCGTCTCTCATGTCGCTGTAATGCCTCTTTAATAGCCCGATACGGATTACGAGATGAGGCATTACGCTCTGTGTTATCCCGACGCTGCGATGCCTCATTCTTTTCTTGTCTTTTCCAATTTCGTCCAGCATCATCTGGTTTCTGTTCATCACCTGGTTGTTGTTCCTCTGTACCAGCGGCATCTTGTTGTTGTTGTTGTTGTTGTTCGGCCTCTCGTCGATTGGCATCTTCTGCGTCTTGTTGTTGTTCTGTTGCCTCTTCACCGGCGTGTTCGTCTTGTCTGCCGCCGTGATGAATGTTCTCATCTGGTAAAGTGGCATCATCGCCACTACCGGAATCATCATCAGCGTCATCCTCGTTATCATTATCGTAGTTCTTGTTGTTATTATTATTATTATTATTATTGGGATCATCAGCATCATCCATTCCATCTGCCTCTTCATCACGTGGGTCTTTGGATGCATCTGTTGCCCCATCATCATCATTATCATCTCGTTCTTTACTACTTCTGCTATTATCATCATCATCATCTTTTTCTTTACCTCCGTCTTTATCGGAATGATCGCTATCTGCCTGACTTTCGGCATCATCATTCATACTACTACTCTCTCGATCATCATCTCCATCTTCATCATCAATACCATTGGCGTCTGCGGCTAAATCGTGTTCGCCTTCCTGCTGTTCACGCTCCGCATCTCGTAATACAGCTTCACGATTCTCAAAGTTTCCAGTTTCTTGATCCTCATTTTCATCATAGGCGTTATCTTTTTCATCTGCAAGAGTGTCCTCTGGCACATCCTCCGCATTCTCCCCATCATCACTGTCCATATCATTTCCATCATTCTTATCTTTCTTCATTCGTTTACGCTCCTGTGCCTCCTCTCCATCTACACTACCCATTTCTTTCTCCGACTCATCTCCATCATTACTGTCTTCATCACTATTCTCCTGCGATTCCTCACGTTGCTGTTTTTCCCCCTTGAAATCCGTTTCCACATCTGCCGCATTATCTTCTCCCTCACTACCGTCATTCTCTTCATCCTTCTCCCCTTCTTGTTCCTGTTCTTCCTTATCTTTCATGTTCATGAGTTGATCTTCATTTTCAATCTGATCTGTCACATCCTTCTCACCATGACCGTCATCCATACCTGTTCCCTCTTGCTGCTCACCCTCACCCTCACCATCACCGTTATCATCATCTTCCTCATCGGCATCTTCAGGTTTACAGAAACCTTTTTTAAGAAGAATAGAGAGTAATCGTGCGAGTACGAGTCCAAGGTGAGATTGAGCCTGAAGCGCCATAGTACTCTTTTGCATAAGTGTATCAACCCGTAAAAGAGTAGTTTCCAGACGTGTTAACAATTCATGACGAATCGTAGAAGCCATTTCTCGTTCACTTGTCTGATCATGTAATAAAGTCTGCATAGATGACATGATTTGATGAGAATCTTTACAAAGTTCTCGCATAGCCACAGCATAGTTATGATAAACCGCAACTTCATCCTCTTCACCGTGTTCCCCATTAACAATCGAATCTCCAGAAGAAGTATGACCTTTATTACAATCATTCATATTATTCTTTACAAACACAGTATCCAAGTTATCAAGCGTTTCTCTTAACTTTTGTGACCAATCACTTTCTTTTTCCACACGGATACGTTTTGTTTTATTTTCTCTTCGTTCTGATACATTATTTTGGGTTAGTGTTTCAGTAATTGAAGTACATAAAGAAGAAGCCGCAGCACTCACACAACCAACATCTGTATTACATAAACGAGTACAAAGTTCACGTACTTTTTCAAGTAATGTGATATGTTGTTCAATAAGTAAATCTGATACCGGAACATCCGTACGTCGTTGTGTCTCTGAAGTAAGACAGAGTTTCCATAGTTCATCTGTAGCACAACAGAGTTCCTCTAAATGACCACGAGCACTCTCCAACTCAAACACGCGCTCTTGCAGCATCCATCTGGTATCATGTAAGAAACACTGAAGCTGTACACAGAGATCCAAAGATGCCTGAAGTAGTTTTCCACCACCTGGCACAACATACTCTTCACAAGAAGCCACACAATCTCGTAGTAAGGATACTTGATGTCGTACTTCATATAAATTACTAACCAACTCTGTTTCTTCTACAGCAAGAGCGAATAAGGATTCCACTGTACCTGTACCACGTTTGGCTTGAGCTCCACTAAGATCCTTGTGTGGATGTCGTTCAGCATCACGCATACGTTGTAACCAACGCGCAGAACGATAGTGTTCAAGAGCAGCTTCTCCAACTTGATGGCTTATAGTAAGATGTCCATATATACTACGGCATGCTAATAGAGCATTTGTTGAGGTAAATAATTCTTCCCAGGAAGAAACTTGCTCTTCATGCGTGTGTGGAACTCCCTTTTCTTCCATAACATTAAAAAGTGTCTTGAAGGCACGTAATTTTTGACTTTGTGGAGTTCCTGGACTTTGTAATTCTTTTACACGTTCCACAATTTCCTCCGAGGCATATCGTAAAAACTCCAATCCTTGAGTCACAGAGTCATTTGTCTCTTTTGTATCCACATCTTCATCTTCTTCAACATCATCATTACCTTGTTGAACTGCAGCTCCAGCATTAATTCGTTTTCCAGAACGTTTCCTCTTTGATCCAGCAGATGAACTACCATTATTATCATTTTGATTATTATTATTATTATTATTATTATTATTATTATTATTGCTTTTATTTTTCTTTTGTTTATCCGTGCGGTTTTTCTTCTTGTCCAACTGTACAGAAGGGAGAATAAAGCCCATGGCCACATCATCCTCACAGCGTTGCTCTTCACCAGAGATAATACCTAACACAGATGTACGTAAAATATCATCCAGTTCTGCCAATGCCCGTCCCATTTTAAGATGAGACTTCTCTGCAGTAGCACGTACCGCGTAGTATGTGGAATCCTCCCATCGCATAATACGAGCAAAAGCCTCCATATCCTCCTCCAGTGGTGCTAATGCATGCTGTAATTTATCCGATATCAATTGAGAAAATTGACTAAAGAAGTCTGATAAATGCATGGCTACATTAGCAAGAGGTGAGAAGGAAGATGGTGCGGATGCAACAAGGTGAAGTGCAAAGGCTTTTAATAGACGAAGACGAACATGAAAGTCACCATAGTGAGATGCCCACATAAATTCCATACAATGACGGAAAAACTCCAAACAACGTTCTTGAAGTTCCTCTTCAGGGATTGGACGACCAGCATCAATGAGATCAAATAATACAAACCACTGCATACTTGCCTTTAGTTCCCACTCTTCTCGTTTTGCAGTAAATACCTGAGACCAACAATGTAATTCCAATCTTCTCCAGCGTAATACAAAGGAAGAGAGTTGTGTCATGTGATGAAGTATAGAAGTATCTCGAGATGCATTACGTTCCCATTCATAACATTCTCGTAAGAGTATTTCACAACCGGTCATTATTTTCATTAGTGGAGTAGTAAGGGCGGGCATTGCGGCTATTCCCGCTGCAATTCGTGAACATCTGTGAAGAGATGGGGTTTCAGGATAAAGGGTACGTAACTCTTCAATAGCTTTTATAAGTACCTGCAGCGCATCACTAAAAGAACGTAGTTCAGATGGTGCAGGATCTGTAAATATATTAAATCCATTTGTACGTTTTTCTTCAAGTGACATCTCTGTAGATTGTAGTTCCTTCATAAGAAGTACAGTACGTGCGGCAAAGCCTCCAAGAAGTAACTGTTCATCACCTGCAGGAAGCATCATTCCATTCTCGGACATGCCATTACATCCAACACGGTGTAATTCAGTGGAAAGAACATCAAAACGAGACTTGAAAGATTGTAATGCCTTTTCACCATTAAAAAGAAAAATATCTTGTTGAGATAATAATTTTTCAAAGAATTGATAATGTGTATCAAGAAGACGACGAAGATAACGTGCTCCTTGTGGTCCTGATAACATAATACGAGCATGACGTCCTGCACGATCTAATAAGGAGGAAGATGATAATAATGAAGGATGAGAATGTGTTGTACCATCATTATTATTATTATTTGTTCCATTACTCTCTTCCTCTGCATCTCGCATGCGAATAAACTCTTCTTCGTAACTTGGGAATAACATCTTTAACATACGTAGATGTTTCTCATCATCGCCTTCAATGGTAATAGATTTCTCTGCATATAAAACTGCCATCTCCTGTTCACGACGCTCCTTCGCTTCAAGTTCCTCTACAGTACGGTGAAAATCTCTGTAGAGATCAAAAAGATTTTCTACAAAATCACGTTTCAGCACTTGAGCCGGTATACTTTGAATTAACATCAAACATGAATCTAAATAAGTTAAACGGTGTTGTAATGCCTGTGTACCAGTGGATGGAAGGGCAGGTGCAGACATACAAAGTAAAGGAAACTGCATCATGCGTGTTATTTCTCTTTTTTCAAAGAGTACATTTCCTTTATGTATGGAAGTATTTAAAAGACAACTCACATGTGCGGCTAAAGATGCAAAAAGAGCAGGTTCTGCCACTGTAAGTGTTACATCTTCATATCCACCAAAACTCTCTAAAACTTCATGAAGTTGTTGAAATAAAACTTCACTCCATGTTCCTCTTTCTGCAGATGCCTCTGGACGTCCTTCTGATAATACCACCGCGAGACGATCATCCGACATCATTGTAGAACATATTTGATGTAATATATTTACCATTTGAGCAAATTTAGCACCAGATGGATCAGGACGATCTATACTCTTTTTAGATGCTATTACAAACATCATCTCTTCTATTTTCTGAAGTTCATGTACAAGGGATCTTTGTTCACTTCTAGTTCGCATAGCAAGTTCTTCTGACCATTTAAAGGCTCCTTCTAAATGTGAGAAACGCTCCAATTCTTTTTGTGCAATCGTTTTCTTAACAGCCCATTTATACATGGGATCAATTGGAGATGTTGGAAGAAGTAAACGACACCTTAAGGCTTCTACTAATGCCACACGTCGAAGAGAATCATTTGGTGTACAACCATCATTACTTATAAACATCTCTAGAAGAGGACGTATAGTAGTAATAATAGGATCTGTACAAGAAGAATTTAACACCTCACGTACTAAATTCATAACTTGTAATATGGAAGTTGGTACATGTTTACTTAATGTATTATTATTATTGTTATTATTATTCTCCATATTTGTAAAAAGATGTGGAACACATATCTTTAGTATAGAATATAATTCTTCCATACTATTAAGTTCCCATTGTTCAAATGGATTTATTCCCTTTACAGGTAATACCCGGTAAAAACTTAATAATCCTGTCATTATCTCTGTATGTGGAGCCTTCTTTGAACCAATAGACATTACAGACACCTGAGCCGCATACCCAAGTGCCTCATATGTAGACTTTGCCCAAGATCCATGTAAACAATGACGACCAGAAACAAGTCCATGACGTGTAATAAACTGAGTTGTGAGTAATGGTACTAAAGCAATAAGAGCTTCATAGTCATTATCATCTTGTAATCGAAGAGAAAGTACTTCCTTCCATAGTGCAATTTCAATATCGGTTAATACATGCAGTTTTGTACAATACAAGTCAATAAATTGAGAAATTTCACTGTGTAAATTACTTGTAGAGAAAGTAGAACCTCCTTTACTTACATAATGAAGATGTTGTATTAAATTAAATTCAGCTCTAAAGATTGCTGTATGCCACATAGATTTTAGTAATTCTTCATGTGGTTCTAATTTTACAGCATTTGCCGCTTTATTCCATGCCGTAAGAGCCGAACGTTCATCCACAGTTGTGATGTGTGGACGAATAATACTCTGTTGAATGGCGGACTTCTCAGATACGAGTTGATATGGTAAATCCAAATAACGTCGAAGTGAGGTTAAAAATTCATCCATTGTATTTACTAACATAGTGGAATCGAATAGAGTTTGTTTTTTCGCAACCGATCGAAGTAATACCACATTTGTTACCAAAGAAACAAAATTATTAGCATTCACTTGAAAAGATACACTGGAATCAGGGAAAAGTAATACTAACAATGGATGAAGGTAACGCCAAACACGTTGTTGCAGTTGCGGAGATTCAAGAGTTTCAATCACTTCTAACAATGTAGTAAACATACGCTGAAAAGCAGTATTCAAAACTGGAGAATCTGAAATGAATATACGAGCATTACGTAATATCTGTATCCATTTAGCATGAGGTCCCAATACATACTGGGAACGACACCATAGAGTTTCAAGAGATGGAGAAACATTACCATTATTATCCAATGAGAGAAGAAGTAAGGATTCAGAAATTTCACTTTCAGAAAGAATAGTGGATAATGAATTTGAAATAAATTGTTTACGAGCCTCCTTCAACATTTCACTTGAAATAGTATCAGAGTATTGTTCCAATAAAAAGAAGAGTGCCAAATCACGAGCAGTAAATTGCAAAAAGGAATTATCCTTCTTTGATAATAACGTTTTAAGAGCCAAACCACTTCGTTGAATTCGTATACGTATTAACGCCGCTTCTATACTTTCATCTTCCACTTCTTCTTTTTGAAGACTCATTGCGTATAAAAGATCCATGATAGGAGGATAACACATATGAGGTTCATTCATCTCCTCATTCATAACAATTCTCTCAAGCGCTTCCAAAATTTCAGTCTTTTTTGTACTCCAATGTCCAGATCGATTTTGGATGTATTTATGAAGTAATGCAGACTTCAAATCTTCCAAGGTGCAGTCCGGTGGAAGCATGGCAGCTGTTTTTAAAAGTGTAAACATATTTGGTGCACCTGCTGAAAGAGCATCGGCGAGTTGTGATGATAATGGTAAATGAGAATCCGCATGGAATCCAGTAAGAACAAATTCACGATGATAACGGGTTAATTTATCATGAACGTCCATTACCCTGCAAGAGGAAGAAGCCCCTGCAAGGGTAATACTCTCAAGTGATGGAATAGAAACAGGAGAAAGATAAAGTTCCACCGCACGATTACGCATAGCTCGAGATATCTCACCATACTTTGGATCCAGAGTTGCGAAAAGACGAAAATTTGGATGAGGCCAAACATGTCGAACATGTCCATTCACAAGACCTTGTTCATTTACAGAAAGCATTCCATTCGGTTCCACAAGTGGGTTTAGTCGATCTAATACACTAGCATTGCAGTAATTTACATTATCTAATACAAGCCAATCTCCTGTTTGCATCGCTTCTAAAATGAGAGAATCACGCCATTCAAATTGTCCTTGTTTACCTTCTACTTGATCAAATCCACCAAGAAGATCTACAGTATCACAACTTGCATTCATTGAAAATGTAACTAGACGAGCTCCTACTAATGCGGCAGCTGTACGTAAACAATATGATTTTCCAGACCCACTTGGACCCACCAATAAACAAAATTGATTCTGTTCTGTACATGTAAGAATAGAACGAATTACAGTAGCTTGAGAAGGAAGTATTAATGGTGAGATAGATGTAGTTAAATTAACTGGTTCTGGTACACGATGTGTTAAAAATGAACCTCCAAAGTAAATAGCATTATCAGATATAAGAAAATCTGATTCTTCTTTACTTCTTACCTCATTTAAAGCATCTCCTCCAAAGTATCGTTTCACTAAAGTTCGAACCTTTTCTCGATCTATATCTGTACGCATACGTTGTACAAATAAAGATTCTACAAATTCACATGGTTTATCTCTAGCTTGATACGCTTCCATCATATTTGCCCATCTAAGAACATCACGTAAATTAAACTCCCACGGACTTCCACGGGTTCCATAAGCACGACGAACCATTACATCACGATGTAGTTCACCTACAAAATTTACCATCTGTTCTAATACGATCTTATCAATATTAGGACTTACCGCAAGTGCAATAGACATTAAATCCTCTACTTCAAAAGGTTCAATTCGAACTTTTGTAAATCGATTTAAAAAACTACGGGGTAAACCTTTTCTTCCACCTCCTTCCATAAGTGGATTTTGACAAGCAAATACACGAAAATCTTCAGCTGCATGAAATTCTTCTCCTAATTCTGGAATAAAAACAGCTGAACGATGATCTAAGAGGGCATTAAGACCTTCAAGAACAGCTTGACTTGCAAGATTTAATTCATCAAGAATAACCCACCATCCCGTTTTAAGGGCTTGAAGAAGAACACCATCAGACCATGAAAACTGAGGTCCTTCAGATTCATCAGATGAGGGACATGGTAAATACGTACCAAAAAGATCCATAATATCAGTTTGTTCACTCAAATTAATACGTACAACTCGTTTACCAAAAGCAGCTCCTAATGCTTCTACAATACTTGTTTTACCAACTCCTGGACTTCCTTCTAAGAGAATAGCTTTACGCATGATACTTGCACGAATAAGTTTTGATAAATTTCGACGTGTAGAAGGGGCTCCAAAGAAAAATCTTTCCTCCATTTCAAGTGGTAATTTTGGTTCTTCAATTCCATTAAATAATTCCCAAAAAGGTATTTCTAAGCATGAATCATCCAAACCACAAAGTTCCTTTGCTTTTTCAAGACAAACATCACGTAATTTACGCTCTCCTAAATCTATTTGACCTGTACCTACTCCAATACCATCAAGTATAACAGCATCAAGTCCATGTAAAAATGCGATACCATCATCACAATGATCATTTGCAGCATTCATAAAAGACACCCATCCAATAATATCACGAATACTAATATGTTGAGGAGTTCCTGAAACTCTTGTAGCTTCTGAAGTATCACATAAAAGAGTTGCCATCCTTTCTGCCCAAGGTTCAAGACGTGGTATTAATCGTTTAGATAAAATTAAAGTAACTTCTTCTTTTTTTGTAGTTGGACGAACATATATTTCTGTAAATCGATTTCTAAGAGCAGGTGAAAGTTCTTTTTTACCAAAATCACCTCCTGGGTTCATTGTTGCAAGTATTCGAAAATTTTCATCTGCAAAGATAACATCTGCTGAACTTTTTTCAGCAAGCGTTATTACACGTGAGGGTTCCAAAACACTATTTAACCGCTCAAGAACACTATCTTCAGCAAGTGAAATTTCATCAAGTACAAACATACCTCCAAGTATCATAGATTCAACAAGAGGACCATTTCGCCATTCAAAAATTGCTTTATTTCTTTGATCAGGAGGTGCTGGACGAAGACTTCCAAGAAAATCAGATGCTTCACTGTGTTGATGACAATTTATTATGCTAAGACGACGTTTTAATAAGGCAGCCCAAAGTTGACATACTGTTGTTTTACTACTACCTGTTTCTCCCACCAATAATACAGGTTCCTTATGATGTAAACAAATTCCAACAACTGTAAAAAGACGACGCATTGATTCTGTCCAAACAATACCAAACTCATCAACTATTCCACTCTCCAAAAGTTTATAATACTCTTCAACATATGGCCAATGTTCTGGTGAATAAACAATTTCTTCATTTAACTCAGTTTTAGTAACAGATTCAATAACATCCTTTACAATTTGACGTTCTTCTACTTTACGGCATCTTTCTGCTAACAAAAGGAATCCATGTTCTGCCATTTCTTGATAAGTTTCAGGATGACGTTCTGCCCATCTAAACAAATCTCGTGGAGTTATAAAACCATGACGACCAGCAAATACTTGTGAAGCTTGACGTCTTAATTGAAGTGATACCATAATCTCAACCATTTTTTCTGCAAAGCTTTTACTAAGAGAATAACGTTGACATAAAATTGTACATAACTCTGTTGTAGGGATATCATCTACTGTAATCTCCAAAAATCGATTTCGAAAGGCTCTTGATAAAAGTTTTCGTCCTCCATAGATACCTGCAGGATTTTGTGTTGCAAATATACGAAGATTAGGATGAGGTTTTACTGTTTCTTGAGTATCTGCTATAAATAATTCACGATTATCATCCAGTAAACGATTAAGTGCTTCAAGAACATCAGTAGGAGCAAGATTTAATTCATCCAATACAACCCAATAACCATTACGTACTGCATCTACAAGAATACCATCAACAAAACGAAGTTTTCCACGTTCATCAGAAACATAATGTCCAACATATTCCTGAATTTCTGTACTTTCATGATTATTTATTCTAACAAACTTGTTACCAGTCATCTCTGCAAGATATTTTACCATAGAACTCTTACCAGATGATGTAGGTCCTTCAAGAAGAACAGGTCGATCAGCAAAAACTGCTCTAGCGAGATTTAGTAAATGACCACGAACACTTGGTGTTAAAATAAAGGAATCATCTTGTTTAGGTTCTTCTGAACCTATTGGAAGCCAAATATGTTCATAGGCTACAAACTTTCCTTCACATGGACACCGAGGTAAAGTTGGTATTGGGGGTTGTTTACCACCAAATATATTTTTTATTATTAGTTGCTCAACAACCGTATGAAATTGTCGTTGTAAAGATGTAGCAAATCCTAACATCAAACCGTCAAATAATGCCAATCCAAAACCATACTGAGATGTAGCTTTTCTCACATATGTTAGAGCACGCGTTAAGGTTCTTAAACTGAACGACGGTGGCTTTGTTTCTCCATCAAGTGAACAAAGTGAAGATTTAGCATTTCCCACACATTCTAAAAAGAATGTTGTTATTTCTTCAGATTTACAATCAGCTGCTAAATGTCCAATATACTCTGTTACAACAACGTTAATATCATTTCTATCAAAAGGTTCATTAACGTATAATTCAGTGAATTTAGAACGTAAAGATGGTGGAAGTTCTTTTTTTCCAACATCAGTTGGAGGGTTCATATTTGCAAAGACATGAAAATTTTTATGTCTTTTAATAGGTTCACAACTTCCTTTATCAGTAAGAAACAAAGTATCTACGTCTCCTAAAACAGAAGAAACCCTTTCAAGAACTTCTGTTGTTGCGAGATTAAGCTCATCTAAAAGAATCCAAGATCCTTCTCTCCATGCCTTAGCCAAAGAACCTTCCTCAAATTTAAAGGCAAAGGTTGTCTTAGTTTTTTCAAGTGTATCCAAAAGTTCCATAGATGTTTTTTCAAGAGATGACCATTCATTAACTAACTCTTCCGAGAACGGCTGTAAGGAATTTTTCAATTTAAACGTATTATAACCCTTTAAAATTTGTTTAACTACAGCTAACCAAGAACATTTTCTTATAGCACCTTGAAGTGCATCTAAAAATTGAACATTTTTAGAAGCATTAAAAGTTTGTGAAAAAAGTTCCACAAACTTATGATAGGCATTTCTTACATTAACACTCACATCCAAAGGTTTCCAACCTCCCATAAAATCACTTGTATCAGTTTGTTGATTAAGATTATGAACTATTAATTTTTGTCCAATCTGGTCAGCAAGAAACTGTACAATAAAAGTTTTTCCAACACCTGTTTCTCCGGTAAGAAGAACATTTTCTCCAGCATCTACAGCAACTGCTATTCGTTCTAAAAGAGACATCGCATGCTTTGTGGCAGCAAAGGCAACACGACTTTCTCTTATATGCATTAAGGAGTCATATAAAGGTATAGTAACACGACCAACTGAAAAGTAATCTCTCCCTATATTCATATCTGGTTTGTTTTCTTTTACAAGTGATTCTCCAACATTTGATGATATACCTATAGCATCTGCTAGTAATATCATAGAAGAAATAAGATCATTTCCAGTAGGATATCCGGCAAGGATACAATCAAAAGCTTCACGAAACATTAATTCACGAACTGTTGAAGAAATAAACCCATCAGGAGAATCTCCTAGATTGGCTCTCTTATTTACACGTCTACACCATTTAAGTAGAGATCTTAATGTTACCAGTGGAGTTTTTGTACGTGGAGATAACAAAGTAGCTAAATTGTAGACGATGCTTCGGGGTACAGAATAGAGAGTAGTTGCGACTATGCAGATTTCATCTGGAGGTAAACTTTCCATTACAACAGTACCCCAAAGTTCTGCAAACGGGATTGAATTACTTTTACGTGTAGTAAGGGTATCCCCAACTGCACGAAGTTGTTGAGTAGCTATAATTTTAAAATTTGGATGAGCTTCAATACGTCGATTCTTCTCTGGTAGAAAAAGTGTTGACTCTTCAAGTAATGAAAGAAGAACAGAGAAAACATCAAATGAGGCTAGATCAATGTCCTCTGTTAGAAACCAATATCCATTTTCTACTGCAGAAGTAAGAGGTCCAGGTATCCATTCAAATGCACCAGGGGTATCTGTAGCAGAAAATTTTCCCAGTAAGTCTTTACTGTCAAACGAATCATCAACATTAACTTGTATCATAGTATCCTTGGCACCAAAACTCTCTGCAAGAGTGTTCGCCAAAAAGCTCTTCCCGCATCCTATATCACCTTGAATTAGAACTGCTCTTGAAGATTTCAAAGCTACTTTTAAATTGTTAAGGTTGCGCTCGCTTGTCGGCGTCAAAATCATTGTCTATTAATTAACAAGAAGAAGAAAACAAGAAAAAAAAAAAAAACAAAAAAAGAGAAAGAAACATAACAATAATAATTAATTAATTAATTAATTAATTAATAATAGTGTAAGAAAACCAAATTTATGGTTCATTATATGATTGGCGTAGGAATGGGAGTGGGGGGAAACAGAATACTATAGGGAAATCAACACTACAATAAGCCCAAAAAAAAAAAAAAAAAAAAAACAGGATTATTAAACCGTTTTCTTTTTCTTTTGACTAAGAAACCGCTATGCTGGAAAAGTATGTCCACTTCACTATTTATTGCTTCTTCTTCCGCACGTGTTGAAGTCTACTGAGTCTCATTGTATTTGTATTTCCTTTCTGAGGAACTAGAGCAATTTTATCTTGAACACCAATCTTGTTAAATTTCTCATGACATACAATCGATTGTGGGGGCTTTCTTCTTCGTGATGGGAATAGATTTTTAAAAGCACTACATTCAGTTAGATCAAGTTCCACTTCAAGAAGTGAAGCTACATTACATGCCGTTTCCTTGTCATCGTTAGCTAAACGATGTAAAAGGTCCACAGCAACTTCCCTCGGAATTGTAATACCACTAGCCAACAATAGTGTTACAACATGTAAAGTAACATATGATGGCAATGTAGTTCTAAGAATATTGTAGGCTAGTTCCTCTTTAGGAAAAGTTCCTTGTGGAATGAAATTCTTTATAAAAGAGTTATCAACTTTCACAGAAGGAGATATAGCATCCTTTTTCACTGTTACACTAGAAATAAACATTGGTACAGGAGGTGGCTTCTCTTTATCAAGAGAAACAATTGTTTTTTTCTGTTGATCTAATTGGATGGACCTTTCCTTCTCCACCAAACCCATATTTGTAACATATGGAACTAAAAATAAAGAGCGACTTTCCGCCCTATCAAACAAATCGATAGAAGGGGATGAATCAGGATCGTAACCCTCCATAAATCCAACAGCAGATACAAGCATATTTAAAAGTCCCTTTTCAAACGTTTTAAGAAGTAAAAAACTCGATAATGTAGCATACTTTAACCTAGAAAGTGAATGCTGGCCACATCCTGCCATTATTTGCGCCAACAACAGATAACATATAAAAAAACAAGCCTTGATAAACCAAAAATAAAATAAAATAAAACATAATAATAAAAAAAGGCAGCAAGATGGATAGAGCATTACAAAAGAACCAAGATCCAAGCAGAGCAGAAATAGAAAAAAAGAAAAAAAAAATGCACCAAAAGAGAAGCGATGCACAAATCAAGAAAAAACAAGCAAACACCTGACATCGCGCACCCCCGAGGCGTCCAATTTTCCAAACGAAGAGAAAGAATCACCACCACCTCAGCACCATCCTGGCTGAAAAAAAAATAGACGAGGGTAACGAAACAACCCCTTCGCCGACGGCGCCGGCCGGAGAGTTCCTCGTTCTGTTTTTTTTTTCCTCGCCGGGCCCGCGACCCGCGCGCCCCACCCTCACTTCCGGCGGCTTCCGGGGACGACGGCGGAGAGGGGCACATAACTGGGGGCGAGGGGTCCCGGGGTTTTTCTTTTTTCTTGGTCCTCGTCGGCCCTTGCGGGTGTAGGCCTCTGTCTCCGCTTGGGCGGCGTTTGGGAAAACTCGGCCGTCGGTGGTGGTGGCGTGGGAGGTGGTGTTCTTGGTTTTTTTTTTTTATTTTTTTGGTGGGGGTCTCTGTTGACTTTTTTCATTTATTTCTGCTATAGCGTTTTTTTCCAGCTGGTGGTAATTGCTCTGGTTTTTCTCTTCCTTTTAAGCCTTTTTTTTTTTATTTAACTGAACTTCACAATGCGTTTTTGTATATATAGTCTTTTCGTTCTTTTTTTTTTATTCCTATCGTTGGCTTATTTTTCTTTGGTTTTAATTATGCTCTTTGTGTCATGTAATTGATATCACTTTTTTTTTTTTTCTTTCTTATACTCGTAAGATTTTAAAGATAGCGAGATGAGTAATGAAAGTATCTACAATCTTTTAACTGCAGAGGTTCACGTTGAAGAAGGACCGTATACGGGAAAATATGAAAAGCATATGAAAGATTTACCAAAGCCTGCGTATTCCACGTTCTATCAAAAGAATAAAGAATATGATGGGACGTTTCCTAGATACTTTAAGCAACGGGATGCAGTTATTGGACCAATAGTTAATGAGTCTGTGGACCCCAAAAACTTTCTTCGGGCTGGTGAAGGTGTAAAGCATTGTGTCCCGGCTGTACGTGAAGAAAAGATTTTTACAAAACCACCTCTCGATCCCAGAGCTCGTAACATTCGTGGTGGTGAAGGTAAAACAGGTTTGTATCCTTCTCAAGGTGGATTATCTGGACACCGTGGAAATGGAAATAAATTTGATCCAAATGGTAAGCCAACAGGTGATGAAATAAGCGAAGGAATGTTAGATGAACTTGATAATAAACTTGCTGAGGGAGAAGAAGGTTATTTGGGAAAAAACGGAGGTACAAAGAATGAATATGGTGTGGGTCAACCAGGTACTTCAAGAGATCTTGAAAATGGTCAAATGGGAATAAATGGGAATGGTGAAAAAGTTACACTACAAAATGGTGGTACAACTGAAGGAATGTATGGACCAGGTCCCCTTGAAGGTAAGAAAGATTTTATTACCTCAAACATTATACAGGTAAGTAATATGGTACCCAAAAGAAGGAAGGATCAACCTGAGAATCTTACGTCGCGAAAAACTTTTGCTCAGGTGCCATCTTACCTAAGTCGTGTAAAAAAAGAAATTGAACAGGAAAAATTATATTTCAAGAATATGGATGAAGCACGTGTTCAACAAAAAGTCAAGATGTGGGAAAGGAATGTGTACCGTCTGAATGAGCGTGAACGACTGGACCTGATTGAAAAACTTACCACCAAACTAAAACAGAAAAGTGGGGAAATGAATAAGATGCCATTTGTCAAAGATACATTTGCCCAAGTAAAACGAAGATCTGATCTAGAAAAAAGTATGAAGGAAATAGAAGCGGCACTTGCAAAGCTAGACAAGGATGCTGTATTTGTTTACAATGATGACCCAAGGTGTGTACACTGGACAAAGGATGCTGCCCTTGAGGAGGCTACTCGATTTGCTTCACAGTCGTCTTAATGACGTATGTAATGCATAATATGTATAGATTTTCTTTCCCTCATTTCTTCTTGTTCTTCCATGTACGTACCGTGTGTGTCTGTGTGTGTGTGTGTGTGTCTTTCTTTTTCTTTTTCTTTGCACACTTTGTGTATCTGTGTACGGGTATGTACGTTCTTGTATATAGTTCCCTCTCTTTTCCTTCCTTCTTTCTTTTCTTTTCTTTTTTCTTTCGAGATATATATATATCTGTAGGTGCCACTTTCCTTTTTCAGGTTTGGAGCTTTTTTTTTTAACTTCCTTTTCTCTTTTCTTCTTTTTTTGGTATTAAATCCTTTTTTTTTTAATTTTTGCGGCGGTATCCTTTTTTTTTCTTTTCTTTTCTGGATCTAGAAAAGACGATGAGGCGTTTTTCAAGTTTTCTGCGTGTCTGCCTCCCTCTTACCCGTTGGAAATCTGAGTCAACTGGGGCCTTAAAAGAAGAAGTTGATCTTCTCACAAAACGTGTTGAGGCTATTGAGGATAGTAAGGCAGTTCAAGCGTTAGTATCATTTTATAGTTCTCGTAATGTACATAAACTAAATAACCTTAGTGAGGTAATTCATTATTGTTCAAGACCTGATTATAACGCCGAAGTTTTTTGCCATATGGAGCTTCCTGTTCTCCTTTCACGCATTGTTAGGGCTCTTGATAGTCTTCCCTGTGGATTAAATGCTATGCCATCTGTTCTATTGGTTAAAAATACGTATTTGGATTCTTTTAAGAAGCTAATAGAATGTGATTTCCCTGGAGAGAAAGAAAGCGTAAAACATTTTCGTAATGTGGTTGCTGAAATTGAAGAGATACACAGAAGTCGAGATATACTTGTTACAATGGCGATGGGTCTTCTTGAACTAAAGGAACTCCTTTTACGTCACAGACAATTTCTTTTTAAAGATAGGAAAATGGACCCTAAAACGACTTTTGATTACCTTTTACATGAAGGATTAATCGATATTACAGGACCAATGGATACTTTTAGTTTACTTATGGTCCATTACAATTTTCTTTCACGAATGCTTATAAATCTTGATCGAGAATCTGATAACAAGGTTGGGATGGTTGATCTTGAAATTGACCTTGAAAGGCTTGTGCGCAATGCTGTTGATGATGCAAAACAAATTTGTACAGATCACTACGGTGACTGTCCCGATGTAAAATTTATTATATCAAAAGATGCAGGACTAATAAAATTTGCTCAAATGAGCTCTACAATATCATATGTTGTCTTGGAGTTAATGAAAAATGCATTCCGGGCAACTGTTGAAGGGCATATGGAGCGTGATTCAATGGGTATTGTTAATTGTGAAAATATGCCTCCTGTGGAGGTTTTAGTGAATATCAAAGAAAGTGCTAAACACGCTTGTATCTGCATATCAGATGAGGGTTTAGGCATGACACAAACTCAAGTAAATATGGCCATGACCTATGCATATACCACTGTGAAGAGGCCAGTTCTTCAACTTCATGATAGTAGTGAAGTATATAGAGGAGATTCGGTGGCTCCTCTAGCCGGTTATGGGTTTGGTTTGCCAATGTCAAGGGTATATGCTCGTACCTTTGATGGAGATCTTGTTATGAGCACAATGGAGGGATATGGGACCCGTGTGTACTACTACATCAAAGTATGAATGCGCATTTTTATTTTCCTTTCTTTTTTTCTTTTTACGATGTTATGTTTTTACCTCTCCCTAACAGGTGATTCCCACACAAATAGAGTGGGTTGATAGAGTGTCACTGTGGTCGGTTTTGTCTTTTTTCTGTGTTTTAACGAAGAGATAGAGTATGTAACGGGAGAGAACGTAATGAAAAAAAAAAAAAAAACGAGACTTTACCGAGATTTCTATGTTACAGTAACTATCTGACTTCTTTTTTTAGGCTTTCTTTCTTTCTTTTCCCTCCCTTCTCTCCCCTTCTCTTCATTTTTCTCAATGTTTCTTTTTCTTTTTTGCTTGTTTTTTTTTTTTCTTCTTCTGATAATATATATATATTTGGCAGTCTTAGTTTTCTTGATAGGCTGTTGCCAGGGTGGCGGAAAGCTTTATTCACTGAGATGACTGCTGATGACACCTTCATCGTGACACCTGTACCATGGGCTTTGATGCTGGATTATGAGCGTGTAGATGTTGTTCTACAGCTATGTAGACAATTTTCTTTTTTCAGTTCCGATAAATTGACTCTAGCTGAACGTGAGGAAGTTGTTTCTACTGTTGGTATGAAAGGTGAATGTCTGCAATATCTCATAATCTATGGATCAGTTGGAAATGCTCGAAAGGATGCGTTCTTAAAACTTCTTCGTTTAGCACGTTTAACTCTTGTCCAGGATATGGCTTCTCAAGTAGTAGTTTCTCCGCATGTAGGTGATGTTCTTCCAAACGCAATGTTATACCCCTTATGGGATTCGAAACAAGCAAGGTGTTTTCGAAAATGGAATTCCATTTATTGGGCAATGCGATGTGGTCTTCTTAGAAAGATAAAGAGAAGACGTGAGTTGATGCAATCACATGTAGAACAAATATTAAGTATGAAACCTGAAGATGAAGTAGTTTGTCCTGGTAATGAAAATAAGGAAATTAAATTTTTTCACGAAGAAACTTTCTACAATGCTTTTCGAAATCTTCTAGATGTAGAACAGGAGGAACGTAATGCACCTCTTGAACTTTATCATGATGCATGTAGTGAAGAACGAGTTAATATCTCTTATGTTGTTGCAAATGTACCGACTCTGTTTATTGCATGGGCTAGTTGGGATGAAACATCTATGAGGTGGTTAAGGGAACATATTTTTAACGTTACTAAAGCGGCACAACTAAAAAATTGTATACCATTAACAGTATCCGCTTTAAATACTTTAGATGATCATCCATGGTTACAAACAGTAATGAAATTTGTTCATGTACCTCGACGAATTGTAGTAAGAAAGAAGGGAAGAATTGCGAGAATTCCAAAACGTGCTCAAATTGTTTTAATAAATTTGGATCGAGAAAAAAATTCAGCAATTCATGCACTTGATTCCCTTGTCAGTAATATTCCAGGTTGGAAAAGTCCTGAAGTATCTTTACTACCACTATGGTGTGGTCCTGATGGTCTTCAAAGTAATTTTGCAACAGATTTAAATATTTCAACACTTCCTTATTTTGTAGCAACTCAGTTACCTGATCCTCAGAAAAGAAGATTTGGTGATTGTAAGGGTCCCCGTATATGTTTCATAACTCCTCAAATAGACAGTGAACCTTCTTTGGATATTTCTATATCGAATAACAATCTTCATGAAATGTTTGGATCTAATGTGAAACCTGTGGATTGGCACCTTATTAACAAAGAAGAAAGAAAACGTGTAATGGATAGTATTTCCTCCTTTATAGCTTCTAGTGATGTACCATTAAGATTTAATGCTCGTGTAGATCGTACATATCAACTATCTCAAGTTTCATCTGGATCATCACCAAAACATTTAAAATATCAAATGAGTTCCTTTGTGTCTATGTCAGGTACTATTTCAACAACTGATTTATTAAAATTAAAGGATGAGATACGTTTTCTTTCTCAAGTTAAAAACCTTGATTTTAATATAAAGGTTATGAGACCGTCTAATCCTTTAGTGATCAAACTTAATCCTGTAACACCAAGTCGTTATGTTTACCAGAGTACACGAAGTATTACTTGTAGCGAGTGTCTTAGAGATATTTTGATAGAAAATGAAGCTTATTTTAGATGTCTCCATTGTGAACAGCTAGATGGTGTTCTTTGTTTAAGTTGTTTTGCTAATGATAAACATCCACAACACCATATCCTACTTCGAGTAGCTGCTGGTCTATCTACAACTTTAGAACTACTTTGGGGACCATCAAATGTTGCCCCATTATCTCGTTTCTGTGGATCTCTTGTAACTAATGTAAATGATAAACATATTGGAGTATATTGCAATGTTTGCTCTAAATTAGTACAGGGCATCCGTTGGAAGTGTTCAATGTGTTATCAATATGATATGTGTGGCCAGTGCTATAAAAAAATCAATCGTTCTGAGAATATTGATTCTGGAAAAGATTCTTCTCCAGTGCATACTCCAAAAGGGGTTTTCACCACACTTATTCCATCTAAGACTCATCCTGCAGATCATTTATTTCTTTGTATTCGTCATGGATGCGGAGCTGACGATGATGAAATTTTAAAACCTGTAAAAGACGAAGATGCACTGAGGAATCTCTTCACAGAGTAACGTTTAGATGGTATAACAGACAATGAATAAAGTTCCTGTCTCTTTATTCTATCCTCCCTCTTTTTTTTTTGCTTTTTTTCTTTTTTTCTTTCTTTCATACTATGTGTGTCTGCGTCCTTCTGCATCGGGATGACGGTTTGATCATTCCTTTTCTTGAGTTGGTGTTCTCTGAGTGCAACCTTTTGATGTTTTTTTTTTCAGTTTGGAGAAGTTTTTGTAGTCGTTATTATATCGCTGATTGTGTGTGTATGTGTTTGTCTCAAGTGCATGTCAGATTATTATTATTATTATTATTATTATTATTATTATTATTATTATTATTATTATTATTATTATTATTATTATTATATGCACATCATTCTTGAAGAAAAACGTATGTAGTTGACTTTCCATTATCATATATATATATATATATATATATATATATATATATTTATTCTCTTTCTTTATTTGTATATTCTTTTTTTTTTCCTTTTCTTTTCCTTTGCCTTTTTCATCTGTACTTCTCTTTCTTTCTTTCTTTCTTTATGTGTATATATTTCTCTGCGTCTATGTTATGATTGGAGGGAGGGGCTTCAGCCTTGACAGCATCCACACACAGCTGAGGGAGAAATGGGGTGCAACGGAAGCCGTCCTAAGGCGGCCGTCAAGGATCAGAACAAGAATAAGAAGAGCAGTAACAATAACAACAATAATAACAATAATAATACGAGGGTGGATTCCTCACCTGCTTCACCATTACCACCAGGGTCACCTGTAGTAGTGACCACAACAGGAGGTCCCAAAATTTTAAGAACTTCAGCTGCTGCTGCTGCTGCTGCTGCTGCTGCTGCTCGTGGTGGTGGTGGTAGAGTTCGTGGGCGTGGGCCCCAGCCGGGGACGGAGGGGGATGGCACTGCCAGTCGGCCGCACAGTTCCTCCTCTGTGGACAGTCGCACGAAACCACCGCAGTCATCGGCGTCCTCCAAGTCTGATGCGACAGATGCGGTGGCTCAAGCGTCGGCACCACGTCCATATCAAGAACCCTTCAGTGCGGAGCCTGTACAAGAGCATGAGGTCTCTACTGCTTCTCCACTCCCTCTTGTTGTTTATAATGAACAAGGGAACTATAAGAGGAACAATTGCAGTTTCTCCAATGGCAACCGTGAGAGCAATAGGAGTAGTAATAGGTATGATAATGATTACATGACGGAATCTTTCAACAGCAGCTTCAGTTCTCCACAGTTGTTTCGTATTTCACCAACGCAGCGAGCTCAGCGTGGAGAAGGTACATGGGAATGGTGGTATGAACAAGTGGATAAACTACGTATCACAAAGGATTGTAGTTGTCGGGCAAGACTTGAAGATATTCAAAACCGCCTTGCACGACAGTATGATACAGATAAAGGTCGGGTTGAATTAGATCTTGGATGGTGTTATATGGAGCGTTCTGCACCTTATGTGTTAGGTCGTCTCTTTGCTAGTCCATTTATTGCTGAGATTCGATGGATTACTGCATTACGTCTTGATGGCAACTATTTTACAGATGAAGGATTTGGTAATATGCTTGCTGTAATGAGTGTGGCAAACGAATCTAAGATTGTTCTACCTCTACTTAAACAATTGTACCTTAATAACATGAATCTCGATCCTAATAGCATTCATGGGATTCTCTATTACCTATTCCCACTCAAACCCCCTCGTGCGTTAATAGAAGAAACAAATACACTACGTCCATCAAGATCACTACCAGTAATGTCGGCAGTGCGAGGACCGACGATAGCGGGTGAGTCTATTGGATTTCCCTTGAGGGCGTATATTCCTTTCGATAATTCTCCGCACACCCCACTATTTCCCTCACTAGAGGTTTTAAGTCTGTGCGACAATCCAGGTATTGGTAACCGTGGACTCGCAGTTCTCTTGCGTTGCCTGATTGCACCACACTACGAGCGACGGGAGTTACCTGTGCTTGATCTCTCACGTTGCGGTATTGATGAAGTGGGTGGGAGATACCTTCGTGAATATCTTACGCATCTACGTATCTCACGTAAGAATGACGAGAACCTTGTGGCTCTCAGACGTGTTGTTCTCATTGGAAATCGGCATAGCATGGATCGTGCGCAAAGTATTTGCAGCAACGATGATAGCCATTACCAGTCCAATGATTATGATAACAATAACATCAACAACAAGAATAATATGTACACTATGAGGAAGCAGAGTGGAAGTCATCATGATGGATATCTCCAAAATGGTAACGACGATGATGCCTCTTCACGTGATCGTGACGTTAGCATTGTATTGTGATATTATTATTATTATTATTATATTTTGTTATTCTTCTCTTTTTTTTTTTCTTATTATTTGTAATTAAAGGGGGGAAGTGTGAAAGAATGACCGAAAATCAGTTTTGAAGGAGGATGTGTAGAAAAATACAGTGATGTATGATGGAGTTAGACGAAGAGAGAAATGTGGGACAGTAATAGGGAAGGAAACAATTTATACACACACAAAAAGAAAAAAAAAAAAAGAGAACTACGGCGCGATGCACATATAAAGAGAGTAGAAGAGTAGATATTAAGGTGAGATCAGTTGGATATTTTTCCCTCTATTTCCTTTTTAGAGCATGAAGAATATGTACACATCCTCCCCCTTTTTCCCCTTTTTTCCCCCTCCCCCTACCCCCTCCCCCTACCCCCTTTTTCTTTCCGTTCCCAGTGTTCAACTGACTCTCTTCATTATTATTATCATCATCTGTTATTTATTTATTTTACACTATTATCACCGTATCGAATAGCCCCTCTGATGTTGTTGTTTCTTTCTTTATGTTTCCCCTCCCCTCTTCTTTGGTGATGGAGGAGGAAAAAAGAAAAAAAAACAGTTGAACAAATTCATCAAAAAAACAAAACACAGTAAAAGGTAACCCCTCCTTCCTCCACCCACTTCAACCAAAAAAAAAAAAAGAAAAAGATCGTGTTGTTATATGTGCTGTAATGTAGAGAGAAGGGAACTATAGAATAATCTGTTATTGAATGTACCACAAAATGTTTGAGTGAGAATGAAGAAACTCATAACCTTTTTTTTCCTTCTTATTCTTTTTTATTTATAAATGAAGATAATTTGTATTCTTTTTTTTGTCTTTTCTTCTTTAATAGTCGTTTTTTTTTTCTTTGTGTAATACTCTTGTTTCTCTTTATATCTTTTTCTTGAAAAGTGGTCTCCGGTATAAATATATTCTAGAAAGAATAGGGAAGAAAAAATAAAAGATTTATTTATTTGCTGTTTTTTTTTCTTGATATTTGATCACTTTAAGTGGTAGTACTATTACTAGTAGTAGTAGTTGGAGAAAGAACAACAACAACAAAAAAACAACAACAACAATAAAACAGTAGCTGGGTATTATGTTTCGGGTATCTCGTCCATCGCACTCTTTTTCTCAAGAGGCTTTTCATCGCATGAGCAAGTACATCAAGAGCCGCAATCCCAATGAAAAATACTTGCGCACAGGTCACATTGTCCTTGAAACGATGAAGAGATATCATGCATATGTACTGGCCTTAGTATTCATTCTTGGTGTGACCTGCCGTGACCAGTTACAGCACCCTGAGAAGGTACGGACTCCTGTTCATGACGGTCGATCACTTGTTCTCTAGTTGGCATGTAGAACTTGTACAGACAGATGACTATACACATATATACAGGCGAACTAGTAAAAACAGTAGCACATATTGGAAGGAAAGAAGCAGCAGTAGTTAAAAGTGATGAAATTAAGTCGCAGAAACGACAAATGAATTGTTGCTTCATGCTTCCGTAAAAGAAAAAAAAAAAAAAATGCAATACAAAGAAGAGACCACCACAAACGGAAGGATATTTGGTAAATAAATGAAAAAAAAGAAAAAGAAAAACAATAAAGTTACCCTTTCCCATTACCTCTCACATATTCTCTCTTTCTTTTCCCTCTACTCTTTCTTTTCCCTAACCCCCCACACCATCACTCCCTAGAGCTCTACGCAGGACCATTAGGATGCGTCGCCCCACCCCCACTCCCACTGCCAATGCCTCTGGCGGGAGAAGGGCCGGGCAGCAGGAGTTCCTCCAACTCATCCCGCTGGACGTTGACCTCCCGACCGCCCGCCGCCTCGCCCTCGCCGCCCCGAACCTCCGCGCCCTGCCGTCCACCGTCGGGCTCCTCCTCCCGCGGCTGCACCGCCTCGACCTCACCGGCGGGGGACTGCGGGATGTCGCCGCCATCGCCACACTGCCACTACTCACCTCGCTGAACCTCTCCGGCAACACACACCTCGGTTCCATTGCCCCGCTCGCCGCACTGCAGCAACTCACCGTTTGCGTCCTCGCACACTGCCAGCTACGTTCCCTTGATGGTCTGCAAGGAAGCGCAGCGAAGCTAAAGTCCGTTATCGCAAACGACAACCAACTGTTGCTATACTCGCCCACTAGTCACATGCTGGCTGGAGCCAACTCGGATGATGTTGCCTTGGCAGTAAAGAATTACGAGATACTTTCTGAACTTACTGCTTGTGAGACCTTAGTGCTCTCTCGCAATCCACATCTCTGTACTTTGCATGTCATACCGGATACAATCGAGGAGGAGGAGGAGGAGGAGACAGAACAAACTGAAAATAAACCTTCTAAGACTGTTCCAGGGGAAGTACCGAAACGAGAGGCAGACTGGACACATCCTCTCTCTTCAATTGAAAAAATGACACATCTGAGGAAGCTTTCACTCAGCGGTTGTGGACTGACTTCCTTACCCTCACATTGGTTTCTTCCAATGGTAACAGAACTGAGGCTTAGCCACAACGCCTTAAAGAGCCTTATCCCTGAAGGTGTTATTTTTCGTTCAGTTAAAATTCTTGACGTTAGCCATAACCAACTTCAGAAACTCTCCACACTACGTCGATGTCGTTTTGTTAGACATCTCTGCATAAGTGGGAATGCGTTTCTAGAAGAGGATGGTGAATTAGCAAGTGAAGCAGTTTCAAAAGAGGAAGTGCCGAAGACTCGTGCAAAGTTGACCCCTGGAATTGTGCATTATCTTACACGAACAATGCCCAACTTGGAAGTTGTGGATAACATGATGCTTTCAACATTACAGCAACAGTGGGCTTTAGAAGAAAAAGAAAAAGAAAAAGAAGCAAAAGAAAAATATAAACAGGAAAGAATAAAGAAAGAAAAAGAAAAAGAAGAACACTCTGAAACAGTTGAAGAAGAAGCAAAGGTTAATTCCATTAAGAAGGAAGTAACTCACACCTCAGGGAGGAAGGAATGTGCTGTGGATAATAGTAATAATAATGATGATATTGTTGTGGAGCCTACTGAACTACTACCGACTGAGGCACCGCGAGCACCAATTGTTCGTCGTGAACGTACAAATTTGATTGATTCACGAAAGCGACAGTTAGTAGCTGATGGTGCTGCTGCAGCCCAGCTTTTGATGAAACGAAAAACTGAAGGTACTGGATGGTGAGGATGGTAATGATAGTTATGACGATGACTGCTACTACTTCTACTACTAATACTATTTTGCATCGGTAGGAAAAGGAGATGTCCTACTGTTTTTGAACGATTAAATCTTTTCTTTTCAACATCAAGACCAATTTCTTTTAAGTTGGTGGACAATGCTGGAAGAACTAACTCTGCCATTGTTTGGCTTGACTACTTGAAAATAAACAGCTTACTGTTTAAACACTTTCTCATTATATATATATATATATATATA